TTAAAAAGTTTCTATTAAATTGGTGCAATGGGCGCTTCAGACTTAGGTTCTGCTTTAGCAAATTGCATTAATCTCTCAAATTTGACACTTGATCTTTAGTAAAAATAGTTTATATGTTTTGTTAAGATTGTGAAATTTTTAATTATTAAAACAAATTTAAAGCAATAATACACTTTTTTCTGTTTCTTTTTATTGTGCTTGCCTTTTTTGTTCTTTCTTTTTTAATTTAACTCATCATTTCATTTCATTTTATGTTTTGTTTTTATATATTAATTAATCTTATTATTTAGTATTTTTTTAAATATTTTCTTTATTTTTTCCTTTTAATTAATAATTAATAAAATATTTTTTCTTTAATATTTTAAAAAGTTGCAATATAATTGGTGATGAAGGCGCATTAGGCTTAGCTTCTGCTTTAGCAAATTGTATTAATCTCTCAAATTTAAAACTCTAAATTAGGTAAAAAAAGTTTATTTGCTTTGGATTGTGATATTTTTAAATATAAAAATTAATTAAAAACAATAAAGCTCTTTTTTCCTTTTCCTTTTATTGTGCTTGCCTTTTTCTGTTATTTGTTTACTAAATTAATTCATCATTTATTTTATTTTAAACTTTTGCATATTAATTAATCTTATTATTGATTATTATTTTTTCATTTTTTCTTCTAATAATCTAATTAATATAATATTTTTCTTCAATATTTAAAAAGTGACAATTTAATTGGTGTAATGGGTGCATCGGGTTTAGGTTCTGCTTTAGCAAATTGCATTAATCTCTCAAATTTGACACTTGATCTTGGGTAAAAACAATTTATTTGTTTTGTTAGGATTGTGATATTTTTAAAAAAATAACTTATTTAAAATAATAAAGCTTTTTTTTTCTTTTTTAATTGTGCTTGTTTTTTTTGTTTTAACTCATCATTTTATTATTAATTAATATTATTATTTTATTTTTTATTTTTTAATTTTTTCCTTCTAATAAACTATTTAATGATATATTTTTTCTTCAATTTTTGAAAAGTGAAAATTAAATTGGCGATGGAGGTGCGTCAGGTTTAGGTTATGCTTTAGCAAAATGCATTAATCTCTTAAATTTAACACTTAATCTTAGGTAAAAGCAGTTTTTTTGTTTTTGATTGTGATATTTTTAATTATTAATTTAAAACAATAATCCTCTTTTTTCTTTTTCATTTTATTGTGCTTGCATTTTTTTCTAATTTCTTTGTTAATTTAACATATTATTTTATTTTCAACTTTTGGTTTTATTATTACATAATTAATCTTATAGTTTGATATTTTTTCTTCCTTTTTTCTTTCTAATAAATTAATTAATAAAATATTTTTACTTTAATATTAAAAAGTGACAATTAAATTAGCAATGAAGGTGTATTAGGTTTAGGTTATTCTTTAGCAAATTGCATTAATCTCTCAAATTTGACAATTAATCTTGGGTATAAATAGTTTATTTATTTATTTATTTATTTATTTATTTATTTATTTATTTATTTATTTTGGATTGTAATATTTTAAAAATAAAAACTAATTAAAAACAATAAAGCTCTATTTTCTTTTTCTTTTTCTTTTTGTTGTAGTTGCCTTTGTTTGTTCTTTGTTTTTAAATAAGCTCATCGTTTTATTTTCAACTTTTGCTTTTATTATTAATTAATTAATCTTATTATTTCATATTTTTTCTTCATTTTTTCCTTCCAATTAACAATTTAATTATATACTTTTTCTTCAATATTTAAAAAGTGAAAATTAAATTGGTGCAATGGGCGCATCAGGCTTAGGTAATGCTTTATAAAATTGCACTAATCTCTCAAATTTGACACTTTAACTTAAGTAAAAACAGTTTATTTTTTGGATTATGATATTTTTAATTATAAAAACTAATTTAAAACAAAAAAGCTTATTTACTTTTTCTTTTTATTGTGCTTGCTTTTTTTATTCCTTCTTTGTTCATTTAAAATATCATTTTATTTTCAACTTTTGCTTATATTATTAATTAATCTAATTATTTCATATTTTTTCTTCATTTTTTCCTTCTAATAAACAATTTAATTATATACTTTCTCTTCAATATTTAAAAAGTGGCAATTAAATTGGTGATGAAGGAGCATCAGGCTTAGGTTTCGCTTTAGCAAATTTCATTAATCTCTCAAATTTGACTCTTGAGCTTTTGTAAAAACAGTTTATTTGTTTTGGATTGCAATATTTTTAATTATAAAAACTAATTAAAACAAAAGAACTCTTTTTTCTTTTTCTTTTTATTGTGCTTGCTTGTTTTTTTTGTTCTTTCTTTGTTAATTTAACTCATTATTTTATTTTGAACTTTTGGTTTTAATATTAATTAATTAATCTTATTATTTCTAATTTTTTCTTCATTTTTTCCTTTCAAATAACAAACTTATTAATTATATATATTTTTTTAATATTTTAAAAAGTTTCAATTAAATTGGTGCAATGGGTGCATCAGACTTAGGTTCAGGTTTAGTAAATTGCATTAATCTCTCAAATTTGACACTTGGTCTTGGGTAAAAACAGTTTATTTGTTTTGGATTGTGATATTTTTAAATATAAAAACTAATTAAAAACAAAAGAGCTCTTTTTTCTTTTTCTTTTTATTGTGCTTGTTTTTTTTATTCTTTATTTGTTAATTTAAAAATTAATTAATTCAAGATTAAATGTTAGATAAAAAAATTAATTAAATCTTTGATTAAACATTTTTGATTTTTTTTTTTTCCTATTAGGTTCGAAACCAGATTCAAACCTTTTTTTATTTACTTTAAAAATTTTTTTATATTAAATAATTTATTATTCTACTAAGTCTATATTTCTAACTATAGAAATAATTTTCTGAGAATAGCTATACTATCTAATTATATATATTTTCTTCAAAAAAAGTGGAAATAAAATTGGTGCAATCGGCGCATTAGGCTTAAGTTCTGCTTTAGCAAATTGCATTAATCTCTAAAATTTGACACTTGGTCTTAGGTAAAGACAATTTATTTGTTTTTGATTGTGATATTTTTAACTAATTTAAAATTATAAAGCTCTTTTTTCTTTTTCTTTTTATTGTTTTTTTTTCTTTTTTCTTTGTTAATTTAACTCATTTTTTTCATTTCACATTTTGCTTTTATTATTAATTAATTAATTAATCTTATTATTTCATATTAGTTCTTCATTTTTTCCTTGTAATAAACTAATTAATTTTATATTTTTTCTTCAATATTTAAAAAGCGACAATTAAATTGATGCAATGGGTGGGTCAGGCTTATGTTCTGCTTTAGCAAATTTCATTAATCTCTAAAATTTGACTCTCTACCTGAGGTAAAAATAGTTTATTTATTTTGGATTGTGAATATAAAATAAAAAAGCTCTTTGAATATATTTGATAGATTTTATTTGATTTATCTTTTTTATTCCACTAATATTGTTTTATTTATTATTTATTTAAGAAATAATGTTTAGTTTAAAAGTTTATTTTATTTAATAACTATTTAAAATTAACTAAAATATATTATAAAAGTTTTAACTAAATGAATGAATCATAAAAATTCAAAGTAATAAGCAAGTGTCTTAAATCAAAAAGACTAGTTACTTTTGAAAAAAAATTCTGATGATTTTTACAAGTGCAAAAAAAGGATGAATAAATATTATATAAATGTTTGAATAATTGAATAGTATATGTTTTTTATTATATAATATTTTGAAAAATTTTTTTTAACTTAAAATATAAATAGATAGATTATATTATTGTTTTTATACTTATAAATACCATATTTTTGTTAGTTAATCAATAGCTTATAAAAAAATAAAATTTTCTTAAATAAATAATTTTTGAATTAAAAAACTATTTAAAATTAAGAATAATTAATTAATTAATAATAAATAAATATTACTATTTACCTATTATAAATATAAATTTATTTTTCAAAATAAAATATTGGTCTCTAATTAATTAATTAACTACTAGTGAGTGAGTAAGTGAGTTATCAAGTATACAAAATTGCAACATAAAATTTACTTGTCACTGGACTAAAAAAGAAAAATCTACAAATATAAATAATTTTATTAAAATTTAACCGACATATTACTTACTATAAGTCTCTAATTCATACAAAACTTTTAAGTATATCTTTTAAATAAAAATGCTAATATCTAACAATTAATGCTATCTACACAGCTTTTTTATCGATTTTGATAAAAAAACAAATTAATTATAATAATTAATTGTCACAAATATCAATTTATAAATTTATTTAAGGAAGAAATAAAAGGAAATTAATTTTGAAAATAAATACTTGTAATTAATTAATTAAATTTCCATAAATTATTATTCAAGACTTAAAAAAAAAAATAAATGATATAATTAAATTAATATTTCTACAATGTAGAGGAAGTAATGACTTATTCTTTTATAGATGCTCTATCAATTTATTTTTATTAACAAAAAAGTTTTTAAATTCATCACTTTAATCTCATCAGGTTCTCCATATTTCTCTGAGGTATAATTAATTATTATTTATCTTTTTTTACATTTAATTTTAAAGTTATTTACAGTAAGTACTATTTATTTTTCTAAGAGAAATTTCCATCTATTTTTATTCATTTTTGTATTTATCAATTTTTTTAATTATTTTAACTTAATTTTCTCTTTCAGTTTATTTTTTATTAAAAATTATTAATTTTTAATTAATTGCCATTTATTTATTTATTTTTTTCTCCATTTTTTGTTTCTAACTAACTAATTAACTATAAATTTTTTCTTCATTATTTAAAAAGTTACAATAAAATTGGTGTAATTGGTACATCAGGCTTAGGTTCTGCTTTAGTAAATTGCACTAATCTTTCTCATTTGACACTCAATCTTCGGTAAAAATAGCTTATTTGTTTGTTAGTTTGTTTATTTGTTTATTTTGGATTGTGATATTTTTTAATATAAAAATGAAATCAAAACAATATAGCAAACAAACTCTTTTAAAATTTATTAGTTTTTTATTTTATTTATTTGATTTTTTTTCTTTTTTATACTGTTTGTGTTTTTCTTTCTTTCTTTGTTAAATTAATTGTTTTTTTATTTTCAACATTTTATTTTATTATTAATTAATTAATTTCTTATTATTTCATATTTTTTCTTCTTCTTCTTCCTTCTTACTAACTAAACTAATTAATTATATTTTTTTTTGAATATTTAATAAGTTTCAATAAAATTGGTTATTAAAGTGCATCAGATTTAGGTTTTTCTTTAGGAAAGTGCACTAATCTCTCAAATTTGACTCTTGATCTTGGGTAAAAATAGTTTATTTGTTTTAGATTGTGATATTTTTTCAATGAAAAAATTAATTTATAAATTTTTTAATTTATTTATAAGTTTTTATTTGATTTGATTTCTTTTTCTTTTTTATTTTGCTTGTGTGTTTTTTTTTATTATTTATTTTAATTTAATTTTTCATTTTTAAAATTTTCTTTATTATCAATTAATTCTTTTCTTATTATTTCTTATCTTTTCTTCAATTTTTCCTTTTATCTAACTTATCAATTTCAATTTTTTCTTCAATATTTAAAGTTAAAACTAAATTGGTGATGAAGGTACATCAGTTTTATGTTCTTCTTTAGCAAATTGCACTAACCTCTCAAATTTAACACTTGATCTTTAGTAAAAATAATTTATTTGTTTAGGTTTAATATTTATATTTTTTAATAAAAATGAATTTAAAATATATATAATTATTTTAATTTAAAATAATATAATTATTTTAATTTAATTTATTGAATATCTGTTTATTTAATTTGTTTTTATTTTTCATTCGTTTTTATTCTGTTTCTTTGTACTTTTTTTCTTTGTTTGTTAATTTAACTTATTTTTTAATTTTATATTTTTTCATATTTTTTCTTTCATTTTTTCATTTACTAACTAATTAATCATATGCTTTTTCTTCAATATTTGAAAGAGCGAATTAAATTGGAGCAATTGGTGCATCAGGATTAGGTTCTGCTTTAGCTAATTGCACTAATCTCTCAAATTTGACACTTGATCTCTGGTAAAAAATTTTATTTTTTTTTGATTGTGATATTTTTGAACATAAAAATGAAAAAGCAACATAACTAACTCTTTTTTAATATATTTATTATCTTTTTATTTATTTATTTTTGCTATTAATATTTCTTGCTTTTTTTTTTTTCTTTCTTTGTTAATTTAACTCATTTTTTTCCTTCTAACTAATAAATTAAATATATATTTTTTTATTCAATATTTAAAAAGTTTCAATGAAATAGGTGCTATTGGTGTATCAGTCTTAGTTACTGGTTTAGGAAAGTGTGATAATCTCTCAAATTTGGCACTTGTGCTTTAGTAAAATCATATTTTTTGTTTTAAATTGTGACATTTTTAAAAATAAAAATGATATTTTAAAAAACTACTCTTTTAATTTATTTATTTATCAGCTATTTATTAGTTTGATTTAATTTATTTTTTATATTTATTTTGCTTGTATTTTTTTTACTTTCTTTATTCATTTGACTAATTTTTCATATTCAACTTCCGCTTTTATTATTAATTAATTTTTTCTTATTATTTCATATGTTTCTTCAATATTTAAAAAGGCACAATTAAATTGATGCAATTAGTTCATCAGGATTAGGTCCTGCTTTAGTAAATTGCACTAATCTCTCAAATTTGAAGCTTGATCTTCGGTAAAAACAGATAATTTGTTTTGGATTATGATATTTATTGATATAAAAATGAATTTAAAACTATATAATTACTCTTTTATTTTATTTATTAGCTTTTATTTAATTTATTTTCTTTTTATTTTTTATATTACTTAAGATATTTTTCCTTTTTTAATTAATTGAGCACATTTTATCATTTTCAATCAACTTTTACTTTTAATTAATTTATTTCATATTTTTATTCAATTTTCCTTCTAAATAACTAATTAAATATTTTATCTTCAATATTTTAAAAGTGACAATTTTATTGGTGATGAAGGTGCATTAGTCTTAGGCTTAGGTTTAGCAAATTAACCTAATCTCTTAATTTTGTCACTTGATCTCAGGTAAAAAAAGTTTATTTATAGGATTGTGATATTTTTTAATATAAATTAAATCAACATAACTAACTCTTTTAATTTAGTAATAAATTAATTAGCTTTTATTTGATTTATTTTTAATTTAATTTTTATTATAAATATGTTTATTTATTATTTCATTTATTTTTTTCTACTAACAAATTAATTAAATAAATATTTTTTTTCTTCAAATTTAATTAGTTTCAATAAAATTGGTGATGAAGGTGTATTAGGCTTAGGTTCTGCTTTAGCAAATTGCGTTAATTGCTCAACTTTAATACTTGATCTTAAGTAAAAACTGTTTATTTATCTTGGATTGTGATAATTTTTAATATAAAAGTGAACTTAAAACAAACTAATTAATTAATTAATTATATATTTTTATTCAATATTAAAAAAGTAGAAATTAAATTGGTGATGAAAGTGCATCAGGCTTGGGTTCTGCTTTAGTAAATTGCACTAATCTCTCAAATTTGACACTCAATCTTTAGTAAAAGCAATTTTATTTGAGTTTTATATTCTTTTTTTCTTTCCTTCTTTGTTTATTAACTTAACTCGTTCCTTATTTTCAACTTCCGCTTTTATTGCTAATTAATTAGTTATTTTCTTATAATTTAACATTTTTTTAAACCAACTTTTTATTTTTTTATTAAATATTTAAAAAGTTAAAATTAAATTGGTGATGAAGGTATATTAGGCTTAGGTTCTGCTTTAGCAAATTACACTAATCTCTCAAATTTGACACTTAATCTTTTGTAAAAACTATTTATTTATTTTGGATTTAGTAATTTTGAAAATATAAATGAATTTAAAACAATTTAACTAATTCTTTTATTTCTAATTTTGATTATATTGTTAGTTAATTAATTGCATATTATTTCAAACTTTTTCTTCATCTTCTTCCATCGTTCCTTCCTTCTAAATAACTAACTAACTAATTAACTAATTAATTACTTATTTTTCTTCAAAAAATAAAAAGTTATAATAAAATTGGTGCAAATGGTGCATCAAGCTTAGGTTTTGCTTTAACGAATTGCACTAATCTCTCAGATTTAAGACTTGTACTTTTGTAAAAACAGTTTATTTGATTTGGAGTGTGATATTTTATTATAAAAGTGAATTTAAAACAAAATAGCTTTTCAACTTTTTTAATTTATTTATTAAATTTTTATTTGATTTATTTCATTTTTTTTATTCTACTTATGTTTTTTTATCTTTCTTAGTTAATTTATTTTGCTAACTATTTCGTTTTCAACATTTGATTTTATTTTTAATTAATTTCTTATTATTTCAAAAATTTCTTTATCATTTGCTTCTAACAGACTAATTGAATATTTATTATTTCTAATAAATAATAAGTTTCAATAAAATTGGCGATGAAGGTGCATCAGGCTTAGGTTCCTCTTTAGCAAATTGCACTAATCTCTCAAATTTGATACTTGATCTTCGGTAAAAAACTTGATTTTCTAGGATTGTGATATTTTTTAATATAAAAAATGAATTTAAATTTAATATAAATAACTAACTCTTTATTTAGCTTTTTGTTTTATTTATTTTTTATCCTGCTTGTGTATTTTTTTATTTTCTATATATTTTTATTCGATATTTAAAAAGCGAAAATTAAATTGGTGATGTAGGGGCATTATACTTAGGTTCTGCCTTAGCAAATTACAGTATTCTCTCAAACTTGACACTTGATCTTCGGTAAAGACAGAGAGTTTATTTGTTTTGGATTTTTATATTTTAATATATAAATGAATATTAAACAATACTCTTTTAATTTATTTATTTATTGGCTTTTATTTTTATTTTGCTAATGTTTTTTATATTTATTCATTTAAAATCGGTTATAATTTAAAAATATTATATTAATTTATTTTTTGTAATTTACACTAATTAATTAATACTAAAAGTGGAAACCAAATAAATAATTCATAATAATTGAAAGCATATAGCAAATGTCTTAAATCTAAAAGATTAGTTGAATTTTAAATTTATTTCTTATGATGATAAACAAAAAAACAAATAAGGTGGTGAAAAAAGGATGGATGAATGAATGAATAAATATAAAAATATTTGAATAATAAAATTTAATATGTTTATTATAAAGTATTTTGTAATAAAATAATTTAACTTAAAATTATTAATATTTTTATTTATAAATATAAAATTTTGGTAAATTATTAAATGGTTTATTAAATGAAAGAGAATTAAAAAATTAAATTTACTTAAAAGCGAGGTGTCTAAACTGAAATTGAGGTAGCCTTAATATTGGTATGAATCTTTACCGTAATTATTTTTTTTAGTTTTGCTAAGCTATTTGTATATTTATTTTTATATTTAAAAGATGATATATATATTTGTTAATTTTATTATGAATACGTGCTTAACATATTTATTTATTTATTTATTAATATTTAAATTTTAAATACAAAAAAAATTATTTTATTTAAAATATAATTTCAAAAAATTTCCAAATTAATATTTTAACAATTACTTATATTCTATTCTAAAACAAAGAAAAATCTTTTAAATATTAAAGAAAATCAGATATGTTAAGGTTTTTCATGTCTTTTAGAAGTATAAAAGCTTATTAAAGCTTCTAATATCAATTAATCATAAAATAAATCCTTACAAAATAAATAAATATATAAAGAAATATCATCTTTTTCGTTCCTTGTAAAAAACTTCTTTTTCTTAAAATACTAAATATGGATAAAATCACAACATAAAATCTAAAATGCGAAAAGCATAGGAATAAACACCTTCAATTTATCTAGGTTAATGATCTTCTTAATGAATCATAAACGGATAAACCTCTTTTCTACTGTTCTTCTTGTTTTAATCATGATCTTTAGTTTAAAGCAATTAATTATCTCATGATTGATTAAATCATCTAAGAAGCAGAAAACACTATCATCCCTAAATGGCCACCTGTTAATGACTACTAAGTCATTACGAATCTCATCGATCTCACTTCAAATCAATCCTAATTAAATTATGTAAAACAAATCACAGATTTTTTTAATTAATTCAAAGAAGAGTTTGTCGCAAAAATAGACATCATACAAAAAAAAATGATAAACGAAACACTTAAATACCCTATTGATAACTAGTAAATAATATAAAAATATTAAGAAATTTCAAGCATTCTAGAGTTCAAGCAACTTCTTAGCAACTAATAAACAAATAACCTGTAATAGCATTCTACTCTTTGCAGAGAATTCATCAAATAAAAAGAATCTTAAAAAGATTAAAATACTGATTTTTTGAAAAATCTTTTTACTCAAGCTAACTAAGTATAATCTAATTTCAATTTAGAGTATCCAAAAATCATCAAATAATAATTATTCACTTTAATAGATAACATTTCATTCTTTAATCAAGATATTGAAAAAATAAGATAAAATAAAAACTACTCTAACATTCAATTAGATAATATTAACAATTTAAATAATCATAATTAATTTAAATTATCATCAGATTTTTTAGTTAAGCTCATTTCGAATAAATCAAATTTTTGTTCAGAATAATTCTTAAACGAATTGAATTCCAGTCTTTAATCTCTAAATCCTTTTCTTTAGCAGCTTAAATTTGATTCAATATTTAAAGAAAATAAACAACCAATAGATTTTTCTAAAATTAGTGATTAGAATCTTAGTAAAGTAGAAGATTATGTAAAACATTAAATTAATTTAGCATCAGATTAGTAATATGAAAGCTAATTAAAGAATAGCTTAGAAATCAAATAAATAAACTTGGTTATGAATTCTAAAGTAAATTTCTTAAAAAGAGAATTCATACAGTAGTTTGAAACATTTTTAATTGATATCAAACCCTTCTTAAAATAGATAAATTTCACAGAAAGTTTTTCTGATTAAAATAAATTTGATTTATTTAGAAATCTGTAAGATGAAAAAGTAAATAAATTGTTTTAGATTAATTTACTTAAGTAAAATTTTGAACTAATTTCAACAAATTACAATAATGGATAATTAAACTGTTTAGTAAAAAAAGAAAATGGTGAGTTTTAGATTGAAAAGTTAAATTAAGATAATTGGATTAATTGTATTTCAAATATAAATTTAGAAAAAAATTTAAAATATATTTTTAGGATATAAGTTTAAAGTATTAATGAAAATTAAGACGTTACTATAGGCCTTATGAGATTTTAAAATGCTAATTTAAATTAAGGATATTAAGAATATTTGTGCAGTAATTTATAATAGGAAAATTAATTTTTTGTTAGATATTTTGATTGTGGTATTCATAAATAATTAAAAGGAGATAAATTTATGATAAAAAAAGAAAATATTATAGAAATGAGGGTTTGTTTAAGTGAGTAGATATTAGAAGTACTAGACTACCCTAATTATTAATATAAGCTAGGATTATAAGATCAATATAAATCAAAACTTAGATAATATGATGATCTTAGATTTTATCTTGGTATTTTTTATAAAGGAAGCAAAATAATTTTAAAAGATGCAAAAATAGTGTAATCATTTAAAGATTGATTAATAAAATCATAATTAATTAAAAAAAAAATAATTTAATAATGAGAGACTAACTAGCACGTTTATATTTCCTTTTAATTTTTATTAGTGAATTAATTAATTTAAAAAAAAAAAACACTTTCAAAAAATATTTGATTTTAATATAATCTTTATTTATTTATTAATCTATTTTATTAAAAATAATATTTGAATATTTTTCCTTTAAAAAGCAAATAAATAAATCCATTCAGTCAGTCAGTCAGATAAGTAAAATATCTTGAATCGGATATTAAATAATATAAAAAATATTATTGAAACTTTTTAGGAAATTTAAACTTTAAGCACATGAATTTCTTATTAATATAGTGAAAAACATACATCAATTTTTGCATAGAATATTTTTGAAAATCCAAAAATTTTTTTTTCATATTTTTTAAATTTGAGAAATGATATTGTGCATTAGTTTGAAAAATTTGATAAAATCTAATTAAAACAGAATTAATAAAAAAGTGTAGCTTGGTTTTCTGTAAATTTATGTATGGCATTCATTATCAGTTGATTCGAAATTAATTCCTACTTCTATTAAGTAGTAAGCACTATACTATTTGGCATGTCAAACTTACCCTCTAACCTTCTTGTACTTACAAAAAAGGTTATTTCTTATTTTATTATATTTTATTTTATCAGCTATCAGAGACTTGGATCCTTTTCCTTCACCAACCTAAAAAATATCTCTTTCCTTTTAAATTATACTTATTAAGTCATAAAATATTAATAAATGAAGTCCTAATACATATAATAATTTATTGGTTATCTTGGTTATATTTTAATATACTACTATGAACCTAATTTTTATATCAACATCAAATAAAAGTCATTTTATTTTATTTTGTTTACAATCAAAAATTATGAAGTAAAAATAATTTGTAAATTTAAGTAATTAATCAATAAATACTTAAGAACTATGGTGCTATTAAAAATTTTTTTATTGATAGCAAGCCTTAACAAAAAAAGTAATATTTTGATTATATAAGAGGTTATCCATAATGTTAGATTTATTTATTATTATTTTTTCCAACAAATATTGAAAATATTGACTACAGAAGCTACAGAAGCTACGGAAGCTCCGGCAACTACATGGAGTGACGTTGATACTATATATAATATTTGAATTAAATAAATAAACAAATTGCTTTGAAAACCCTTATCTAGACCTACAGATTAACACAAAAAAATAAATAAAATAAAATATATAAAATTGTTTTTCTATAATATAATTTAATTAAGATGTATTCTGAGTGCATATTTATGTGCGAGTATTCCATTCCATTCCATCACCAATTTTATTCTTACTTTTTAAATATTGAAGAAAACATAAATCATTAAATAGTTAATTTGAAGGAAAAAATGAAGAAAAAAGATGAAATAATAAGATTAATTAACAATAAAAGCAAAAGTTGAAATAAAAATAATGAGCTAAATTAACAAAGAAAGAACAAAAAAAAGCAGGCACAATTAAAAGAAAAAGAAAAAAGAGCTTTATTGTTTTTAATTAGTTTTTATAATTAAAAATATCACAATCCAAAACAAATAAACTGTTTTTACCCAAGGTAAAGTGTCAAATTTGAGAGATTAATGCACTTTGCTAAAGAAGAACCTAAGCCTGATGCACCTTCATCACCAATTTAATTGTTACTTTTTAAATATTGAAGAAAACATAAATCATTAAATAGTTAATTTGAAGGAAAAAATGAAGAAAAAAGATGAAATAATAAGATTAATTAACAATAAAAGCAAAAGTTGAAATAAAAATAATGAGCTAAATTAACAAAGAAAGAAAGAAAGAACAAAAAAAAGCAGGCACAATTAAAAGAAAAAGAAAAAAGAGCTTTATTGTTTTAAATTAGTTTTATAATTTAAAATATCACAATCCAAAACAAATAAACTGTTTTTACTGAAAATCAAGTTCCAAATTTGAGAGATTAATGCAATTTGCTAAAGCAGAACCTAAGCCTGATGCACCTTCATCACCAATTTAAATTTCACTTTTTAAATATTGATGAAAAAATATATCATTAAATAGTTAATTAGAAGGAAAAAATGAAGAAAAAAAATGAAATAATAAGATTAATTAACAATAAAAGCAAAAGTTGAAAATAAAATGATGAGCTAAATTAACAAAGAAAGAAAAAAAAAAAGAAAGCACAATAAAAAGAAAAAGAAAAAAGAGCTTTATTGTTTTTAATTAGTTCTTATGATTAAAAATATCACAATCCAAAACAAATAAACTGTTTTTACTTAAGCTAAAGTGTCAAATTTGAGAGATTAATGCACTTTGCTAAAGCAGAACCTAAGCCTGATGCACCTTCATCACCAATTTTATTCTTACTTTTTAAATATTGAAGAAAACATAAATCATTAAATAGTTAATTAGAAGGAAAAAATGAAGAAAAAAGATGAAATAATAAGATTAATTAACAATAAAAGCAAAATTTGAAAATAAAACGATGAGCTAAATTAACAAAGAAAGAAAGAAAGAAAGAAAGAAAGAAAGAACAAAAAAAAGCAGGCACAATTAAAAGAAAAAGAAAAAAGAGCTTTATTGTTTTTAATTAGTTTTTATAATTAAAAATATCACAATCCAAAACAAATAAACTGTTTTTACTCAAGCAAAAGTGTCAAATTTGAGAGATTAATGCACTTTGCTAAAGCAGAACCTAAGCCTGATGCACCTTCATCACCAATTTAAATTTGACTTTTTAAATATTGAAGAAAACATAAATCATTAAATAGTTAATTTGAAGGAAAAAATGAAGAAAAAAGATGAAATAATAAGATTAATTAACAATAAAAGCAAATGTTGAAATAAAAATAATGAGCTAAATTTACAAAGAAAGAACAAAAATAACACAGGCACAATTAAAAGAAAAAGAAAAAAGAGCTTTATTGTTTTAAATTAGTTTTATAATTTAAAATATCACAATCCAAAACAAATAAACTGTTTTTACTGAAAATCAAGTTCCAAATTTGAGAGATTAATGCAATTTGCTAAAGCAGAACTTAAGCCTTTTGCACCTTCATCACCAATTTAATTGCCACTTTTGAATTATAGAAGAAACAATATATTATTAAATAATTAATGAGAAGGAAAAAATGAAAAATAAAATGAAATAATAAGAAATATATAATAAAAGCAAAATTTGAAAATAAAATAATGAGTTAAATTAACATAAAAAGAATAAAAAAAAGTAAGGACAATAAAAAGAAAAAGAAAAATAAGCTTTATTGTTTTAAATTAGTTTTTATTATTAAAAATATCACAATCCAAAACAAATAAACTGTTTTTACCCAAGGTTAAGTTTCAAATTTGAGAGATTAATGCACTTTGCTAAAGCAGAACCTAAGCCTGATGCACCTTCATCACCAATTTTATTGTTACTTTTTAAATATTGAAGAAAACATAAATCATTAAATAGTTAATTTGAAGGAAAAAATGAAGAAAAAAGATGAAATAATAAGATTAATTAACAATAAAAGCAAAAGTTGAAATAAAAATAATGAGCTAAATTAACAAAGAAAGAAAGAAAGAAAGAACAAAAAAAAGAAAGCACAATAAAAAGAAAAAGAAAAAAGAGCTTTATTGTTTTAAATTAGTTTTATAATTTAAAATATCACAATCCAAAACAAATAAACTGTTTTTACCCAAGGTTAAGTTTCAAATTTGAGAGATTAATGCACTTTGCTAAAGCAGAACCTAAGCCTGATGCACCTTCATCACCAATTGAATTGCTACTTTTTAAATATTGAAGAAAAAATAAATCATTAAATAGTTAATTTGAAGAAAAAATTGAAGAAAAAATATGAAATAATAAGATTAATTAACAATAAAAGCAAAAGTTGAAAATAAAATGATGAGCTAAATTAACAAAGAAAGAAAGAAAGAAAGAAAGAAAGAAAGAACAAAAAAAAGAAAGCACAATTAAAAGAAAAAGAAAAAAGAGCTTTATTGTTTTTAATTAGTTTTTATAATTAAAAATATCACAATCCAAAACAAATAAACTGTTTTTACCCAAGCCAAAGTGTCAAATTTGAGAGATTAATGCACTTTGCTAAAGCAGAACCTAAGCCTGATGCACCTTCATCACCAATTGAATTCCACCTTTTTAAATATTGAAGAAAAAATTTATCATTAAATAGTTAATTTGAAGAAAAAATTGAAGAAAAAATATGAAATAATAAGATTAATTAACAATAAAAGCAAAAGTTGAAAATAAAATGATGAGCTAAATTAACAAAGAAAGAACAAAAAAAAGAAAGCACAATAAAAAAAAAAGAAAAAAGAGCTTTATTGTTTTTAATTAGTTCTTATGATTAAAAATATCACAATCCAAAACAAATAAACTGTTTTTACTTAAGCTAAAGTGTCAAATTTGAGAGATTAATGCACTTTGCTAAAGCAGAACCTAAGCCTGATGCACCTTTATCACCAATTGAATTCCACTTTTTAAATATTGAAGAAAAAATTTATCATAAATTAGTTAATTTGAAGGAAAAAATGAAGAAAAAATATGAAATAATAAGATTAATTAACAATAAAAGCAAAAGTTGAAAATAAAATGATGAGCTAAATTAACAAAGAAAGAAAGAAAGAAAGAACAAAAAAAAGCAGGCACAATTAAAAGAAAAAGAAAAAAGAGCTTTATTGTTTTTAATTAGTTTTTATAATTAAAAATATCACAATCCAAAACAAATAAACTGTTTTTACGAAAGGTCAAGTTTCAAATTTGAGAGATTAATGCACTTTGCTAAAGCAGAACCTAAGCCTGATGCACCTTCATCACCAATTTTATTGTTACTTTTTAAATATTGAAGAAAACATAAATCATTAAATAGTTAATTTGAAGGAAAAAATGAAGAAAAAAGATGAAATAATAAGATTAATTAACAATAAAATATATAGATAAATGAGGGGTCTAGCGCACTGTGATTTATGTGATTAAAATTTTTTTTTTTTTTAAATTAATCGTAAATTTTTCAAAATTTATTTTTAAAAAAAATGATAAGTTATAAGAATATACGGTATGCATATATTATTTCAAATTTTACATTTTGTGAATTTAAAGCTTTCTAAAAACTCAAAAATAAAGCTATTTTAAACTAATTTAGCTTAATTATTATGTTATTAAGAAATATTATATTTTGCCTTTTATAAATTAAATAGGCATTGCACTCTAGTTAATTATAAGGAAAAAATGAAGAAAAAACATGAAATAATAAGATTTATTATAATTAATAAAATTAACAAATAATGAAAAAAAAACAAATCAATAAATAATGATGATAATTTCTCTAATAAAAATTATTTATTTAAATAAATAGAAATTTAAATATAAAAAAAATATTAATAATAATAAAAATAATATTTTTTAATAAAATATACTAGAGATCAATATGGAGAATCTAATGGGATAAAAGAGAAGAGCTTATAAACTTTTTTTATTAATTTATATAAATTTAAAGGATATTAATAGAAAAATTAATAATTACTTCTTCTAATCTATTATATCTTATAATCTATTACATCATTTATTTATTTTTTCAAAAATATTGTTTAGCAATTTATGAAATTTAATTAATTAATTAATTATAAATGGATAAAAAGAACAAATAAATATAATAATTAATTAATTATCAAATATTAATTTATATATTTGGTTTTATGAAGAGATAAATATCACAGAAAAATTATTTAATATTCATTATTTAAACTTAATATTTATATTTAAAAGATATACTTAAAAATATATTTAGTAGGAATTATAGATGGTCAGTTATTCATTTAGTTATATTTGAAAAAATTCTAATATTTAATGTTCTTAAATATTATAAAAATAATGTTTTTAAGTAGATTTTTCTGTTTAGCTCTGTATTTTATTTTTGGAATATTTATAATATCTCTAATTATTTTCCTTTTATTAAGAAATAGATTTTTATATTTTATAATAAAATTATAATTAATAATTTAATTTATTGTAATTTCTAAAATAAATAATTTTTTTACATTAAAATTTTTTAATTTTGCTAAATTTTGTATAATAATAAAACTAAAATTCTATAATAATTATTTTATATTAATTTTAAATATTGATTGATAAGCTATTTTTATATTTAAATAATGAAATATATTTGTCAATTTTATTATGAATATTTATTTATTTAACATATTTATTTATATTTAAATTTTTAATATTTCAAAAAATTTCTAAATTAATTTTTTAAAAATCACTTTTTATAATCTATTTCTAAAATAAAGATACATTTTTTAATATTAAAGAATCTCAGATATGTTAAGATTTTTAATGCCTTTTAAAAGAATAAAAGCTTATTAAAGAAACTAATATCTAATAATCATAAAATAAATCCTTATTAAATTAATAAATAAATAAACAATATCTTCTTTTTGGCTCCTAGTAAAAAACTTTTTTTCTTATATAAAAATGGATTAAATCACAGTATAAAATCTAAAATGCGAAAAGCATAGGAATAAACACCTTCAATTTATCTAGGTTAATGATCTTCTTAATGAATCATAAACGGATAAACCTCTTTTCTAGTGCTCTTCTTGTTTTAATCATGATCTTTAGTTTAAAGCAATTAATTATCTCATGATTGATTAAATCATCTAAGAAGCAGAAAACACTATCATCCCTAAATGGCCACCTGTTAATGACTACTAAGTCATTACGAATCTCATCAATCTCACTTCAAATCAATCCTAATTAAATTATGTAAAACAAATCACAGATTTTTTTAATTAATTCAAAGAAGAGTTTGTCGCAAAAATAGACATCATACAAAAAAAAATGATAAACGAAACACTTAAATACCCTATTGATAACTAGTAAATAATATAAAAATATTAAGAAATTTCAAGCATTCTAGAGTTCAAGCAACTTCTTAGCAACTAATAAACAAATAACCTGTAATAGCATTCTACTCTTTGCAGAGAATTCATCAAATAAAAAGAATCTTAAAAAGATCAAAATACTGATTTATTGAAAAATCTTTTTATTCAAGCTAACTAAGTATAATCTAATTTCAATTTAGAGTATCCAAAAATCATCAAATAATAATTATTCACTTTAATAGATAACATTTCGTTCTTTAATCAAGATATTGAAAAAATAAGATAAAATAAAAGCTACTCTAATATTCAATTAGATAATATTAACAATTTAAATAATCATGATTCATTTAAATTGTCATCAGATTTTTTAGTTAAGCTCATTTCGAATAAATCAAATTTTTGTTCAGAATAATTCTTAAACGAATTGAATTCCACTCTTTAAACTCTAAATCCTTTTCTTTAACAGCTTAAATTTGATTCAATATTTAAAGAAAATAAACAACCAATAGATTTTTCTAAGATTAGTGATTAGAATCTTGGTAAAATAGAAGATTATGTAAAACATTAAATTAATTTAGCATCAGATTAGTAATATGTAAACTAAATCAAGAATAGCTTAGAAATCAAATAAATAAACTTGGTTATGAATTCTAAAGTGAATTTCTTAAAAAGAGAATTCACACAGTAGTTTGAAAATTTTTTAATTGATATCAAACCCTTCTTAAAATAGATAAATTTCACAGAAATTTTTTCTGATTAAAATAAATTTGACTTATTTAGAAATCTGTAAGATGAAACAGTAAATTAATTGTCTTAGAATAATTTACTTATTTAGTAAAATTTTGAACTAATTTCAACAAATTACAAAAATGGATAATTAAACTGTTTAGTTAAAAAAAAAGAGAATGGTGAGTATGAGATTGAAAAGTTAAATGAAGATAATTGGATTAATTGTATTTCAAACATAAATTTAGAAAAAAATTTAAAGTATATTTTTAGGATATAAGTTGGAAGTATTAATGAGGAAAATAATATTATTATAGGTCTTATGAGATTTTAAAATTCTAATTTAAATGATGGGTATTAAGAATATTTATGCTGTCCTTTAAAAAATAGAAATAATTTTTTTATTAAATTTTGTGAATTTGGTATTGATAAAAGATTAAAAGGAGATGAATTTAAGATAAAAAAAGAAAATATTATAGAAATGAGGGTTCATTTAAGAGAGTAAATATTAGAAGTACTAGATTATCCTAATTATTAATATAAGCTAGGATTATAAGATCAATATAAATCAAAACTTACATAATATGATGATCTTAGATTATATCTTGGTATTTTTTATAAAGGAAGCAAAATAATTTTAAAAGATGCAAAAATAGTGAATTAATTTATAGAATGATTTTGAAAATTAAAATCAATTAAAAAATAACTTAATGAGTGGATAATATTTTTATATTTTATTTATATTTTTAATTTTATTTAACTTTTGCATTATTTTTATTTAATCTTATTTTACATTTAGTATTATCTTTCGATTTTCCAAATGACAATTTTCAAAATTCATATTTTTGTTGATAAAATAATAATTTCTCCAAAATAATAACAAATTTGGTCATTTATTTTATTTGTTAATAATTAAAATTAAAGTAATTTTAGGATTATTCATTAAATTCTATTAAAATGTTTAATTACTATTTTTTTTTACTTAAATTTATTTTATTTTTAAAAAAGTGTTTAATTATATTTTTAATTTACAATTTCAATTATCACTATTTGATTATTAAATAAAAATTTATTTTCATTGAATTTATTGGCTTTTACAAAAATTTATCAATTCAAACGAATTAAAAAAAGTAAAAATCACATATTTCAATATTAAATTTTAGATATTCTTCATTATTTTTTGTTATAAAAATAAATAAAATCTATCTCTAAATTAATAAAAAGTAGAATGATTTTTAATTTTTTTCTTTTAATTTAGGAAATTTAAACTTTCAGCACATGAATTTCTTATTAATATATTGAAAAACATACATTTTTGAAAATCCAAAAATTTTTTTTTTTCCTTTTTTTAAATTTGTTAAAAAATTATTTATTTATTTTTGAAATTATATTCTATTTTAAAATTTAAAAATCAGATTTTTTAATAAATAACTAAAAAATATATTTCATAACAAGTGACATCCAAAAAACAGATTTTTTGAATACCATCTTGCTATAATTTGAGTATTTAGTTATTTCAAATTGTAATTTAAAAGCTTTTAAAGATAAATGAATGAATTCAAACTAAAAAATAATCAACAATATACTTTTTCAATAATAATTTGAATAAACAAAGAGATATTTTATTTTGAAAATCAAAGGATATTAGAAGTTTAATAAGACTTGCCACTAATTATCTTATTTTAGAAGTAATATTCTTTTATTTAATTACTAATATCAATTATTAAATTAAAAGAAAACAAGATTTTTTAGAAGAAACAAATTTAATTTTCTACTATCCTACAAAATTCTATTTCTTTCAAAAATGGATAAAATTATTGCCTAGAATTTAAAATGTGAAAAACATTAAGGTAAATATCTTTAGTTTATCTAGGTGAATGATCTTCTTCACTAGTCAAACTCCGATAAACCTCTTTTCTACTGCTCTTCTTGTTTCAATCATGATATTTAATTTAAAGCAATTAATTATCTTATGATAGATTAAATTATCTAAGAAGCTGATAACTCAATTATCCCAAAATGGCCACCAGTCAATAACTAAGAAATCATTTTAAATCTTATCGATCTCACTTAAAATTAATCCAAATAAGATTATATAATACAAATCACAGATTTCTTTGATTAATTCAAACAAGAGTTTATTGCAAAAATAGACATCATGTAAAAAAAAATGATCAATGAAACTCTCAAATTACCCTTTGATAAGGAGCAAATAATCAAAAAATATTAAGAAATATCAAACATTCTTCAATTCAAGCAACTTCTTAACAATGAAAAAGCAAACAGTATGTAGTAGCATTCTTTTCTATGCAAAGAATTCATCACTTAAATGGAATCTTAAAAAGATAAGAATACTGAGCTACTGTAAAATTTAGTGACTTAAGCTAATTTATTATAAACTAATTTGAATTTTGACTATCCTAATATCATAAAAAAATAATTATTTACTTTGATAGACCACATTTCTTTCTTTAACCATGATATTGAAAATACAATGTAGCACTAAAATAATGCTAATGTATAGATGAGTAATTTTAATAACTAAAATAATAGTGAATAATTTAAACTTTCATCAGATTTTCTCATTAAGCTCATTTCTAATAAATCAAATTTTTGTTCTGAATAATTCATAAATGAATTAAATCAGAAATTGTAAACCATAAATCCAATTCTTTAGTAATTTAAATTTGGCTCCGTTTTTAAAGAAAATAAAGAACCTATTGATTTTTATAAGATTAGCAATTAATAACTTTATTAAATAGAAGATTATATTAAGCACTTGATATATTTATAATAAGATTAGTAATATGAAAATTAAGTAAAGAATAGTTTAGAAATCAAATAAATAAACTTGATCATGAATTCTAAAATGAATTTCTTAAAAACGGAATTCACTTAGCAGTTCGAAAATTTCTTAATTCATGTTAAACCCTTCTTAAAATTGGTAAATTTAGCAGAATGTTTTTAAGATTAAAATAATTTTGACTTCGTTAGAAATTTGTAAGATGAAAAAATAAAAAAATTGTTTTCGATTAATTTACTTAATTAAAATCTATAATTAATTTAAACTCATTTTAACTCTGGATAAATAAATAGCAAAGTAAAATAAAAAGAAAATGGTGAATATGAAATTAAAATTTTAAATCACTAATGTTTAAATTTCATTTCAAACATAAATTTAGAAAAAGATTTAAAGTACATCTTTAGGATAAAAGTTCAAAATATTTATGATGAGAATGATATTATGATAGGCCTTATGAGATTTGCAAATTAAGATTAAAATCAAGGATATAATTAAAAATTATCTTGTCATTTAAGGAATATAAATCAAACTTTTGTTAAAGATTAATGTTGGGGGATTGATTAACAATTAAAAGGAAATGGTGATTTTAAGATAAACACTAGAAATATAATAGAATTAAGAGTTTGTTTGAGGGATTAGATATTAGAAATCGTAGACTATCCAAATTATAAGTATAAACTAGCATTATCAGATCAATATAAACCATAGTTGACATAATACGATGATCTTAGACTCTATCTTGGTACTTATTATAAAGGAACTAAAATAATTTTAAAAGATGCAAAAATAGTGCATGACTTTAAAAATTGATTTAAAAATGAAAATTTATTATAAATACGGATTTATTAGTGAGTGAGTAAACATTTTTTATATTTGGTTTAAAATTTAAATATATTTTGATAAACAAACTATTTTATAAATATTTTACATGTTCATTTAATTAATACATGTAATATAATTAAAAAACTAAACTTTTAAAGGATTATATTTTTATAAAATTTTCAAATTAATTTATTATATAAAAATCAGAAATGAGGGTTTGCTTAAGTGAGTAGATATTAGAAGTACTAGACTACCCTAATTATTAATATAAGCTATGATTAAAAAATAAATATAAATCAAAACTTACATAATATGATGATCTTAGATTTTATCTTGGTATTTGTAATAAAGGAAGCAAAATAATTTTAAAAGATGCAAAAATAGTGTAATCATTTAAAGATTGATTTATAAAATCATAATTAATTAAAAAAAAATAATTTATTGAGCTATAATATTTCATCTATTATATCATTTATTTTTTTTTTCTAAAATATTGATTTATAAAATCATAATTAATTAAAAAAAAATAATTTATTGAGCTATAATATTTCATCTATTATATCATTTATTTTTTTTTTCTAAAATATTGTAAAGCAATTTATGAAATTTAATTAATTAATAAAAAATTGATAAAAAGAACAAATAAATATAATAATTAATTAATTATCAAATATTAATTTATATATTTGGTTTTATGAAGAGATACCACAGAAAAATTATTTAACATTTATAATTTAAACTTAATATTTGTAATTAAAACATAGGCTTCAAAATATATATAGTAGGAATTATAGATGGCCAGCTATTTATTTAGTCATATTTGAAAAAATTCTAATAGTTAATGTTCTTAAATATTATAAAAATAATGTTTATGCATCTCATGATACTAGTGATAGCCATTCATAGCATCCTGATGTTATAAACTACTAAGATTTTACTTTGTAATTTGTAGATGACTTTAATCAAACCGAAATAAATACTTAGTATTGAAAGTAGGTGATAATTTACTTAGAACTACTTCACAATTTTAAATTTATACTAAAGAAAATAATAAAATAAAAGAAGGTAAATTGGTTTTAAGTGCACAATATTAGCCAACAACCTTTGAGCAAAAAAATATAATTATTCAGGAGGTTATTTGGAAACTAAAGGAAGTTAAGGTTTTAAATTTAAATATGGCTACGCTGAAGCAAAAATTAAATTACCTGAATTACAATTCTAGGATTCATCTTTTCCAGCATTCTGGGTTCTTCCTGCTGCAAAATCAAGATGGCTGTATTCAGTAGAAATAGATAATGAAGTATTGCAATGTTTGTAGTGGCAGTGATACAAATAATTATATCTTTAGCGTAAATATTTATGGTAATAGATCATATATAATATGGATATTGTAGAATTTGGTATAGATCTCAAATGAAACAAATTACATTCACTGATTAATACCTTTATGGAATGCTTTGGACATGAGTTTAAAATTAAATAAACAAATATTTGTAAATATTAGCTCTAAGCCATTTTTTTTAATTCATTTTTATTTATGATAAATTTTGGTGAATTTTGACAAAAATAATAAATATGTTATCGATCACATTTTTATTAAAATCTATTAAATTTAAATTAAGTAAAAAAATGTTTTTGAATAATAACATATGAGGATTTACAGTATTGATATAAAACGTAATATTGTATATTTTTAATTAAAGCAGTAAATTTCATAAATAAAATGTTCTTTCTACTGCATTTACAAAATATATAAAAGTTTAAATAAACATGAAACATTTATTTAATTAAATTACTTCGTTTAAAATATTATTTAAAAATATTAACTTTCACTGTTTTTTTTTAGGTGTGAGAATTCTAACATAGTCAACCAACATATATTTAGGTGTTTCAAGTGTATTTTGTACTACATAATCAAAACCTAAAAAGATTTTTTCTTTAGGGATTCTTACACTGCAACCAAGCTTTGGTGAATTAGATGGGTCATTAGCAACATAAGAAAAGTGAGCCTCTCCGTCAATGTAAAATGTAACTTCATTTTCTTTCAAAAGCATACCATAAGTGTGATATTTAGAAAAATCTAATTTCTTATAAGGAGACCTATATTAAATTCTACAATCACCATTATCAACCCACTAATAATAGATAAAAGTATTGTAAACATATGGATAACTCTTCTAGATATTTGCATCAAAAATACTATATTTCATTATTTAATATTCAGTTGGATGGGGCCAACTTTCGTAATTAATAGGAATAGCAAAAAATCCTGGCTCAGATAAATCCTTCTCATCATACTCTGGTAATTTTATTCTAGCCTCTACATATTGATTAAATTGCAATGAAACTCCTTTAGTGCTATTACTATCTATAAAGCCTCCAGTGAAATTATATTTTTTATTATTAAAATCAACTTTTTAATGTTTTGCACTGATAACCAAATTACCATCTTATATTATCACATTATCTCTAGTGTATATGTAGTTTGATTATTCAGTTGTTTTTAAGAAATTATGAGCAACTCTCCAACAAGTAGTGTTTAGTTATGCAGAATTGAAATCATCTTTGAATATCTAAATATAATCATTTTCGTTAAACCAATCTGGAGAAGATGAAAGAGTACCAGTTGAAGGATGAGAGGCAGAAGAAAGCACAAAAAGCAATCCCAAAATAACAAAGTGAAATCCAATTTTCTTCATTTTTAGTATTTGATTAGTTTATTTTTATATTAATTTATTAAACATTAAATCTATCTTCTCTTTTTATAACTAAAATAATGAATTAATAAAAGGGATTTAACACTTTAATAAAAATGTAACATAAAATTAATCAAATTACTATATTACTAATAAATTAATTGACTAATTAATTAATTTTTATTTTTATGTCTAAAAATGATAAATAGTATTATTTTCATTTAACTAAAAATATCTATATTATCTAAATTTATTCTAAAAAACAAAATGAATAAAATCTTATAAAAAAAATTCAAAAAATATTTGTAAAATAATTTTAATTTTATGAAAATAGATCTTTTAATCAATCAATATCAAAATATTCAAAGACTTATTGTTTAAATATAATATTTTATATTTTTAGTATTTAACTTTTGAGTGGTCTTATAGGAATTTATAAAGTTGTGGTAACAGTAAAAAGTTAATTAATCAATTTTACTCTTTTAACAATAGGTATATTCCTATATTAATTTATGCAAAAAATAAAAAAATACAAAGTTACAAAAAATTAATCTATTTAATAAATGTCAATGTAAAGCATAAATTTAAAGAGATAATCTTTTATTATATGCAAAATGGTTTCATTTTCAATTTATTTTGTTTTTATAAAATAGTGCCAAAGTGATTTTGACAACAAAACAAACTACCTTAATTCCTCATAACTCGCAAAAAATAGCGAGGATGATGTAAAAATGATACAATTTTAAATATATTTCGTTAATTTTTGAATACCACTCAAAATAAATAAATCCCCTCCTCCCTCCTCCCCTCAAAAAAAAAGTTTTGAATCCAGGTCAAAAATCAGCATTATGAAAAAAGTTATTTTCATTTTGCATTAATTAATTAGTTAATTAATTAGATTTAGTGTAATTTAAATTACTCCTATTGTTGTGTTTGTTTGGATAAAAACATTCAATTTTTAATCATGAGAAAGAATTCTATTAACTTAATTATAAGCAAATATTTTTTTGAAGGAATCTTACTTAATTTAACACAAATGCTCCTCTAAAGCAATTTCATTTTTGCTTTTAATACTTTTGATTGAATTGAATTATTATTTAACTAAGCTAAAGAATATATGGAATATAAATAATAAGAAGATAAATTTTATTTTAAAGTAAACTGCCTGACAATAATGAATGTAAACTTAAATTAAATTGTTTAGTAATACTTTGTTCAGTAAAAATTAATATATTTTGTCAATTAATTAATCAATACTAATTTCAAATCTAATTTAAATTTATTCAATAAGTGTTAGTTAATTAATATTTAAATGAAAATAATTTAATAATTTTATTTTAATGTAAGTTATATGTAAAAATATTACACATTTAAAACTTATTTCATATATTTTATAAAGAAAAACCAAATTTATTCAATTTCATTTTAAAGAGTAATACTTGAATTTAATAGTTACTTAATTTAGCAAAAGGATATCTTTATAATTAAAAAAGTAATTAAAAAATTTACTAACTAATTATTTATTAGTCCAGTAATTAAAAATTACAAATTTAATTTAGAAATAGATCATATTTTTAACATAAAACGAATACATAATTTAATTTTAAACATGATAAGTATGAACGAATTCTATTTTTTGAAGATACATCCAATACTTTATACTTCATCAAATAGTTTTAAGCTTATTGTTTAAATATTTACATTTCTAATAATTTTATAAAATATTATCAAAGCGTTCTATTAATCTTTAATGGCCCATAAACTAAATTTGATTTTCGCTTATTTAGTAATCTATTTAATGACTGAATACTGACCAACCTTTAATTTGAGTCTGATTATAATTGAGGTTTAAATTCTATTTAAATTTCAAATTTTTATGTGAACAGTATAATATTAAAAACTTTTTTTGATTAACCTTAAATTAGAAATCACAGTAATTTAATTTATATCAATTACAACTTTTTGAATGTTTTGGAATCCATAAAAGCGCTTTAAGATTTTAGCTTAAAAGGTACTGATTATTTGTATTAAAATTTAATATTAAAAATAAATACAAAACATAAGCAATAAAAAATGAACGATATTAAAAATTCTTTTGCATTTATTTCAATATTTGCATTCCTTTTTACTCTCGCTTCTGCATCTCATGATACTAGTGGTAGCCATTCATAGCATCCTGATGTTATAAACTATTAAGATTTTACTTTGTAATTTGTAGATGACTTTAATCAAACTGAAATAAATACTAAGTATTGGAAAGTTGGTGATAATTTACTTAGAACTCCTACACAATTTTAAATTTATACTAAAGAAAATGTGAAAATAAAAGAAGGTTAATTGGTTTTAAGTGCACAATATAAACCCACGAAGTTTGAGGAAAAAATATATGATTATTCAGGAGGTTATTTGGAAACTAAAGGAAGTTAAGGTTTTAAATTTAAATATGGCTACGCTGAAGCAAGAATTAAATTACCTTAATTACAATTCAAGGATTCATCTTTTCCAGCATTCTGGGCTCTTCCTGCTGACAACTCAAGATGGCCTTATTCAGTAGAAATAGATATAATGGAATATTGCAATGTTTGTAGTGGTAATGATACAAATGATTATATCTTTAGCACAAATATTTATGGTAATAGGACATAATATGGAGATTGTAGAATTTGGTATAGATCTCCAATGAAACAATTTAAATTCACTGATTATCACCTTTATGGAATGCTTTGGACTTAAAATGAAATGACCTTTTATATTGATAACGTAGCTTATTTTAGCTATATTATTAATGATCCTTCAAACAACAAAAGTGTAGGTTGTCCTATAGTTATTCCTGATAGAGAATTCTACTTGATTTTAGATTTTGCAGTCATAAAGAATAATGCAAAACCTGAACATTACAATTAACCTAAAGAAATGTATGTTGATTATGTTAAAGTTTATTCTCTTAATAAAAAATGAAAAATTTTTTAACAATACACAATTATATAAATTAAAAGTAAGTAATGAAAAATATTAGATTTATATTTATATTCATAAAATATATTAATTACTTAGTCTTTATTAAATCATTTTTAAACTATTTTCTCTTCTTCTCTAAAAACTTATTAAGAAATAAAAAGGTTTTCCATAATTTTGAATATTAATAATAATATTATAAAAAAATAAATAATTTTATTAAATAATAATTTAATTTAAAAATAAATGTATCAATATATTTTTTAATAAAGATATTTTTTGATTAAAAAAAATTTCCACACTTTTCAATGTTAATAATCAAATAATAATAAAAATAAAGAATGCTTAATTAAAGTAAAATTTTTTGATTTAAAATTGTCTTAAAGTTTAAAAATACACTTCATTAATTTTTGAATACCACTCAATCAATTTAAATCCCCTCCTCCCCCTCAAAAAAAGTTTTGAATCCAAAAAATTGATCATTTTGAAAAAAGTGATTTTCATTAATGAAAGAAATATTTTTTTGAATGAATCTTACTTAATTGAACATAAATGCACCTCTAAAGCAGTTTATTTTTGCTTTTAATACTTTTGATTGAATTGAATTATTATATAACTAAACTAAAGAATATATGGATTATAAATAATAAGAAGATACATTTTGTTTAAAGTAAACTGCCTGACAAAAATGAATGTAAACTTAAATTAAACTGTTTATAAAACATTGTCCAGTAAAAATTAATTAATTTATATTGTCAATCAGTTAATTAATCAATATTAATTCATTCAAATCTAATTTATATTTACTCAATAAGAATTAGTTAATTCATTTTTTAAATGAAAATAATTTTACAATTTTATTTTATTGTAAGTCAAATGTAAGAATATTACATATTTTAAATATTCTTATTTGATATATTTTAAATTGGAAAATCTAATTTATTCAATTTCAATTTAAAGAGTTATATTTGAATTAAATAGTTATATAATTTAACAAAAGGAAATCTTTATAATAAAACTTTACTAACTCACTATTAGTACAGTAATTAAAAATTATAAATTTGATTTATTATTAGATCATATTTTTAAGATAAAACAAATATTACTTTTAATTTTCAACATAATAAATAAGAACGAAACTATTTTTGAAGATACTTCTTATACTTTATACTTCATCTAATAGTTTTAAACTTATGGTTTAAATATTTAACATTTCTAATAATTTTATAAAATATTATCAAAGTTTACTATTAATCTTTATTGGTTTTAGTTTGTTTATTAATCTATTTAATTGTTGAATACCGACGAACCTTTGATTTGAATTTCATAATAATTGAGGCCGAAATTCTAATTAAATTTCATCAAAAATCAGCATTATGAGAACAGTGATTTTTATTTTGCACTTATTAATTAATGTGATTTAGAGTAATTTAAATTAACACCTATAATTTTATTCAAATAAAAAATTCAATTTTTAAACTTGGGAAAAATTCTATTAACTTAATTATAAGCAAATATTTTTTTGAATGAATCTTAATTAATATACATAAATTCACCTCTAAAGCAATTTGATTTTTGCTTTAAAATATCTTTGTTTGAATTGAATTATTATATAACTAAGCTAAATAATATATGGATTATAAATAATATGAAGATAAATATTATTTTAAAGTAAACGGCCTAATAAAAAATTAATGTAAACTTAAATGTAACTGTTTAGAAATACCTTGTCTAGTTAAAATTAATTAATTTATATTGTCAATTAGTGTATCAATATTAATTTATTCAATTCCAATTTATATTTATTCAATAAGAGTTAGTTAATTAATTTTTTAAATGTAAATAATTTAAGAATTTTATTTTAGTGTAAGTTTTATGTAAAATTATTACATATTTTAAACTTTCTTATATGATATATTTTAAATTGGAAAATCTAATTTATTCAATTTCATTTATTTCATTTTAAAGAGTCATACTTGAATTTAATAGTTATATAATTTAACAAAAGAATATCTTTATAATTAAGAAAGTAATTAAAAACTTTACTAAGTAATTATTAGTCCAGTAATTAAAAATTGCAAATTTGATTTAGTATTAGATCATATTTTTATTATAAACAAATATATTATTTAGTTTTAAAGGTGATAATATATGAATGAATTCTATTTTTTGAATATACATCTAATGCTTTATACTTCTTAGAATAGTTTTAAACTTATTATTTAAAAAATTTACATTTCTAATAATTTAAAAAAATGTTACCAAAGCATACTAATCTTTAATTACCTGATAAATTAAATTTTGTTTTCATTTGATTTATTGATCTATTTAATTACTGAATACTTATTAACCTTTAATTGAGTCTCACTATAATTGAGGCTGAAATTGTAATTAAATTTTATTTTCATTTGATTTATTAATCTATTTAATTACTGAATACTTATGAACCTTAAATTTGAGTCTCACTATAATTGAGGCTGAAATTGTAATTAAATTTCAAATTATAGCCAAACTCCCTTTTTTATTTTTTTGATTAATAGGACAATCAATTCCAGAATATGTTTTAATCAATATATTTTTATATTTTTATTTATTATTCATTGAGCGTTTGTTATTTATTCTACTAAACATTTATTTCTTACAGAAAAATAATTATCCGAAAATAGCTATATAATGAAACTTAATAAATTAATTTGGATTAATAATAAATAGAATAGAAAAAAATTAATTGAAAGAAATTTCAAATTCTAATAAAAATTAACTAATTCTATTTTTAGATTTTATATTTTGATTTTTATGTGAAAAGCATTAAACTAAAAATTTTTTTTCTATAACTTTATATTTGAAATAAATCACAATAATTTAATCTATATCAATTACAAATTTTTGAATGTTTTAGAACTCATTTAAGCACTGTAAGATTTTAGCTTAAAAAGTACTGATTATTTGTATTAAAATTTAATATAAAAAATTAATAAATACAAAACAAATGCAATAAAAAATGAAAAGTATTAAAAATTCGTTTGCATTTATTTCAATATGTGCATGCCTTTTTGTTCTCGCTTCTGCAACTCATGATACTACTTGTGGCCAGTCATAGCATCCTGATGTTATTAACTACTAAGATTTTACTTTGTAATTTGAAGATCAGTTTAATAAAATAGAAATAAATACTTAGTATTGGAATGTTAGTGATAATTTAATTAGAACTAATTAACAATTTTAAATTTATACTAAAGAAAATGTGAAAATAAAAGATGATAACTTGGTTTTAAGCGCACAATATAAACCCACGACTTTGGAGCAAAAAAAATATGACTATTCAGGAGGTTATTTGGACACTACAGGAAGTATAGGTTTTAAATTTTAATATGGCTATGCTGAAGCAAGAATTAAATTACCTAAATTATAATTCTAGGATTCATCTTTTCCAGCATTCTGGGCTCTTCCTCATCCTGCTTATAACTCAAGATGGCCATATTCAGTAGAAGTAGATATAATGGAGTATTGCAACGTTTGTAGTGGCAGTGATACAAATGATTATATCTATGGCGCAAATATTTATGGCAATAGATAATAATATGGAGATTGTAGAATTTGGTATAGATCTACAATGAAACAAATTACATTCACTGATTACCACCTTTATGGATGGTTTTGGACTGAAAAAGAAATGACCTTTTATATTGATGGTGTGGCTTATTATAGCTATATTTTTAATGATCCTTCAAACAACAAAAGTATAGGTTGTCCTGTAGTTATTCCTGATAAAGAATTCATCTTGATTTTTGATTTTGCAGTCATAGAGAAATATGCAAAACCTGAACATTACAAAGAACCTAAAGAAATGTATGTTGATTATGTTAAAGTTTATTCACTTAATAAAAAATGAAAAAATTACTAAAAATATTACAATTATATAAATTAAAAGTAAGTAATGAAATAATAATATTCGATTTATATTTATATTCATAAAATATTTTACTTAGTCCTTATTAAATAATTTTTAAATTATATACATATTAAATTATTTTTTTCAATCTCCTACAACTTAATAAGAATAAAAAGATTTACCATAAATTTGAAATTAATAATAATATTATTAAAAAAAAATGAATTCTTATTTAATAATTATTTAATTTAAAATTAAATGTCCTACGTATCTTATAGTATTAGTATTTTTAGATGAAAAAAAAAATTCCATACTTAAAGTGATTTTCATTTTGTATGTATTTTTAATTAATTAATAAACTTTAGAGTAATTTAAATCACACCTATTATTATGTTCGGATAAAAATATTAAATTTTTAATCATTATAAAAAATTCTATTAACAAGCAAATATTTTTTGAGTGCATCTTACTTAGTTTAACATATATGCGCCTCTAAAGCAATTAGATTTTTGCTTTGATATACCTTTGATTGAATTTAATTATTATATAACTAAGCTAAATAATATATGGATTATTTAAAAAAGATAAATATTGTTTTAATATAAATAGCCTGGCAAAAATGATTGTAAACTTAAATTAAACTGTTTAGAAATACTTTGTCGAGTAAAATGAATTTATATTGTCAATTAGATAATTAATATTAATTTATTTTTATATAATTATAATTAGTTAATTAATTTAATAAATGAAAATAATTTAAGAATTTTATTTTAGTGTAAGTTTTTTGTAAAAATATAAAGCATTCTTATTTGATATTTTTTAAATAGCAAAATCTTATTTATTCAATTTCATTTTAAAGACCAATACTTGAATTTAATGGTTAAATAATTTAACAAAAGGATATCTTTATAGTTAAAAAAGTAATTAAAATGTTTATTAACTATTTGTCCAGTAAATAATAATTATAAATATGATTTAGTATTAGATCATATTTTTAAGATAAAATAAATATATTATTTTATTTCAAACATCATAAATATAAAACGAATTCTAGTTTTAAAGTTATTGTTAAAAATTTTTACATTTATTACAATTTAAAAAATGTTACCAAAACATAATTTTAATCTTTAATGATATGGTAAATTAAATTTTATTTTCATTTGATATATTAATCTATTTAATATCAGAATACTGATGAACCTTTAATTTGATTCTCACTATAATTGAGGCTGAAATTCAAATTAAATTTCTTAATTAAGGTATTTAACCATATATTAAAATTTTTTTGCTTAACCTTAAATTAGATATCGCAGTAATTTAATGTATATCAATTACAACTTTTTGAGTGTTTTAGAACTCATTTAAATGCTGTCAAATTTTAGTTTAAAAATTACTGATTTTTTGTATCAAAATTGAATTATAAAAATTAATAAATACAAAACAAATGCAATAAAAAATGAAAAATATTAAAGATACTTTTGCATTTATTTCCATATGTGCATTCCTTTTTGTTCTCTCTTCTGCATCTCATGATACTACTGGTAGTCCTTCATAGCATCCTGATGTTATTAACTACTAAGATTTTACTTTGTAATTTGAAGATGAGTTTAATCAAGCCGATATTAACACTAAGTATTGGAAAGTTGGTGATAATTTCCTAATAAATTCTTTACAATTTTAAATTTATACTAAAGAAAATGTGAAAATAAAAGAAGGTAACTTAGTTTTAAGTGCACAATATTAATCAACGACCTTTGAGCAAATAAAATATAATTATTCAGGAGGTTATTTGGAATCTAGAGGAAGTTAAGGTTTTAAATTTAAATATGGCTATGCTGAAGCAAGAATTAAATTACCTAAGTTACATTTCTAAGATTCATCTTTTCCAGCATTCTGGGCTCTTCCTGATCCTGCTTATAACGCAAGATGGCCATATTCAGTAGAAATGGATATAATGGAGTATTGCAATGTTTGTAGTGGTAAAGATACAAATGATTATGTCTATAGCGCAAATATTTATGGCAATAGATAATAATATGGAGATTGTAGAATCTGGTATAGATCACCAATGAAACAAATTACATTCACTGATTATCATCTTTATGGAATGCTTTGGACTGAAAATGAAATGACCTTTTATATTGATGGCGTAGCTTACTATAGCTATGTTTTTAAAGATCCTTCAAATAACAAAAGTGTAGGTTGTCCTATAGTTATTCCTAATAAAAATTTCTTCTTGATTTTTGATTTTGCAGTCATAAAGGATTATGCAAAACCTGAGCATTACAAAGAACCTAAAGAAATGTATGTCGATTATGTTAAAGTTTATTCGCTTAATAAAAAATGAAAAAATTACTAACAATACTACAATTATATAATTTAAAGTAAGTATTGAAATTATTAGATTTATATTTATATTCAGAAAATATATTTGTTAGTCCTTATTCAACAATTTTTTAATTATATACATATTAAATTATTTTTTCTTCACTCTCTAAAAACTTAATAAGAAAAAAAAAACATTTCCCATAAAAGGCAGAAAAAAATGGCGTAATAGGTTGTTTTTACCCCTATTGGCCCTAAAATGCCCCGATTGTTAATTCTCTTACAAGAGCTGTAAACATATCAAATAAATAGATTTAAATTTATAAATACTTTATTAATTTTTGAATACCACTAAATGTAAATCACCCTCAAAAAAAAGTTTTGAATCCAGGTCAAAAATCAGCATTATGAAAAAAGTGATTTTCATTTTGTATGTATTTTTAATTAATTAATGAACTTTAGAGTAATTTAAATCACACCTATTATTCCTATTATTGTGTTCGGATAAAAATATTAAATTTTTAATCATTATAAATAATTCTATTACAAGCAAATATTTTTTGAGTGCATCTTACTTAGTTTAACATATATGCGCCTCTAAAGCAATTAGATTTATGCTTTGATATACCTTTGATTGAATTTAATTATTATATAACTAAGCTAAATAATATATGGATTATTTAAATAATAAAAAGATAAATATTGTTTTAATGTAAATAGCCTGGCAAAAATGATTGTAAACTTAAATTAAACTGTTTAGAAATACTTTGTCGAGTAAAATGAATTTATATTGTCAATTAGATAATTAATATTAATTTATTTTTATATAATTATAATTAGTTAATTAATTTAATAAATGAAAATAATTTAAGAATTTTATTTTAGTGTAAGTTTTTTGTAAAAATATAAAGCATTCTTATAGCAAAATCTAGTTTATTCAATTTCATTTTAAAGACACAATACTTGAATTTAATGGTTAAATAATTTAACAAAAGGATATCTTTATAGTAAAAAAGTAATTAAAATGTTTATTAACTATTAGTCCAGTAAATAATAATATAAAAATAAATATATTATTTTATTTCAAACATCATAAATATGAACGAATTCTATTTTTAAAGTTATTGTTAAAAATTTTTACATTTATTATAATTTAAAAAATGCTACCAAAGCATAATTTTAATCTTTAATGATATGGTAAATTAAATTTTATTTTCATTTGATATATTAATCTATTTAATGACAGAATACTGATGAACCTTTAATTTGATTCTCACTATAATTGAGACTGAAATTCAAATTAAATTTCAAATTATAAAAAAATTAAAATTAAGATGTATTCTGAGTGCATTTATATGTGCGAGTATTTCTATTCTATTCTATCACCAATTTAATTGTCACTTTTTAAATATTGAAGAAAAAATATATCATTAAATAGTTAGTTAGAAGGAAATAATGAATAAAAAATAAAACAAATAAACTGTTTTTACCTAAGTTCAAGTGTCAAATTTGAGAGATTAATGCATTTTGCTAAACCAGAACCTAAGCCTGATGCACCTTCATCACCAATTTAATTGTCACTTTTTAAATATTGAAGAAAAAATATATCATTAAATAATTAATTAGAAGGAAAAAATATGAAATAATAAGATTAATTAATTAATATAAAGCAAAAGTTAAAAATAGAATGATTAGTTTTTAAATTAACAAAGAAAAAACAAAAAAAAAGCAAGTACAATAAAAAGAAAAAGAAAAAAGAGCTTTATTGTTTTTAATTAGTTTTTATAATTAAAAATATCACAATCCAAAACAAATAAACTGTTTTTACTCAAGATTAAGTGTCAAATTTGAGAGATTAATGCATTTTGCTATACCAGAACCTAAGTCTGATGCACCTTCATTACCAATTGGATTGCAACTTTTTAAATATTGAAGAAAAAATATATTTTTAAATAGTTAATTAGAAGGAAAAAATGAAAAAAAAATATGAAATAATAAGATTAATTAATTAATAATAAAGCAAAAGTTGAAAATAAAATGATGAGTTTTTAAATTAACCCTTTCGACTGGGGAGTTTTTCACCTTTATAATAAAGAAACCAAAATTATTAATTATTTTAATTTTTAAGTAATTTAAACTCGGCCAATTCGGACGATATATTTATGTAGAAAAATGAATTAAGTTTAAGGTATAAGATTTTAAAAATATTAGAAATCTACTAAATTTATTAATTTTCAAAATATATTATTATGAAAAATCAAAAAATTAAAATGTTTTCATTATTATGATTTAAGCTTATTTTATTAGCCTTTAAACTCAAAATATTATTTTTTTTTTTCAAAATACTCACAAATAAATTTAACTATTTTTTATAAATTAGATATGCATACAAGCAGAAAAGAAAAAAAATAAAAATTAATTCTTAATAGTTTTAAAGTGTAAATTTATATATAAACATAGAATTTTATAAAATTCATATACATTCAAAAGTTAGCTCCACCGATTCTAAGGGGTTAACAAAGAATTAAAAATATTACAATCCAAAACAAATAAACTGTTTTTACCTTAGGCCAAGTGTCAAATTTGAGAGATTAATACAATTTGCTAAACAAGAACCTAAGCCTGATGCCCCTTCGTCACCAATTTAATTTCCTCTTTTTAAATATTGAAGAAAAAATATATCATTAAATAGTCAATTAGAAGGAAAAAATGAAGAAAAAATATGAAATAATAAAATTAATTAATTAATAATAAAAGCAAAAGTTGAAAATAAAATGATGAGCTAAATTAGCAAAGAAAAAACAAAAAAAAGCAAGCACGATAAAAAGAAAAAGAAAAAAGAGCTTTATTGTTTTTAATTAATTTTTATAATTAAAAATATCACAATCCAAAACAAATAAACTGTTTTTACCTAAGTTAAAGTGTCAAATTTGAGAGATTAATGCATTTTGCTAAACCAGAACCTAAGCCTGATGCACCTTCATCACCAATTTAATTGTAACTTTTTAAATATAGAAGAAAAAATAAATCATTAAATAGTTAATTATAATGAAAAAATTAAGAAAAAGTATGAATAATAAGATTAATTTATTTATAATAAAGGCAAAAGTTAAAAATAAAATGATGAATTTTTAAATCAATAAAGAAAAAACAAAAAAAAGCAAGCACGATAAAAAGAAAAAGAAAAAAGAGCTTTATTGTTTTTAATTAATTTTTATAATTAAAAATATCACAATCCAAAACAAATAAACTGTTTTTACCTAAGGTCAAGTGTCTAATTTGAGAGATTAATGCAATTTGTTAAAGCAGAACCTAAGCCTGATGCACCTTCATAACAAATTAAATTTTCACTTTTTGAATCATTAAATAGTTAATTATAAGGAAAAAATCAAGAAAAAGTATGAATAATAAGATTAATTAATTAATAATAAAAGCAAAAGTTGAAAATAAAATGATGAGTTTTTAAATTAACAAAGAAAAAACAAAAAAAAGCAAGCACGATAAAAAGAAAAAGAAAAAAGAGCTTTATTGTTTTTAATTAATTTTTATAATTAAAAATATCACAATCCAAAATAAATAAACTGTTTTTAGCCAAGTTCAAGTGTCAAATTTGAGAGATTAATACATTTTGCTAAACCAGAACCTAAGCCTTATGCACCTTCATCACCAATTAGATTTTCACTTTTGAAATATTGAAGAAAAGGTATATCATTAAATAGTTAATTAGAAGGAAAAAATATTTAAAAATATGAAATATTAAGATTAATTAATTAAAAATAAAAGCAAAAGTTGAAAATAAAATGATGAATTTTTAAATTAACAAAGAAAAAACAAAAAAAAGCAAGCACAATAAAAAGAAAAAAAAAGAGATTTATTGTTTTTAATTAGTTTTTATAATTAAAAATATCACAATCCAAAACAAATAAACTGTTTTTACCTAAGTTAAAGTGTCAAATTTGAGAGATTAATGCATTTTGCTAAACCAGAACCTAAGCCTGATGCACCTTCATAACCAATTAAACATATAGTTCAGAGAGACCCTTCCAGACCCTCACCGGACATCAGCATTACACTGAAGCCATAGAGAAAAATATCAGCTCAGTCTGAGCCTCATTATCGAAATCCCTGGCCAAGGAAATCTTACTGAAGCTCAAGTCGAACTAATATCTTAGTTTTTGCCTTTTTAGGTCTCTCCTCTATATATATGCATTTTGACCCCCCTGATATTTCTTTTTTATTTCTTGCCACAAATTTCTTTGAAAACGCCAAGAAGTTCATAGAGTCTGATACTTTTTTTATTTTTTTTGCCAAAAAAAAGACTCTGAGAAAAAATTAAACAAACTTCAAAAATTCATAAAGAAATATACAAACTAATAAATAATAAATAATAAATAAATAAAACAAATAAATAAATTTATAAATTTAATCTTTATGTTTAATTTTAAGAAACATTTCTGAGTGTATAAATACATGTATTTATATGCGAGTATATTATTATTATTATTATAACCAATTAAATTTTCACTTTTTAAATATTGAAGAAAAAATAAATAATTAAATAGTTAATTATAAGGAAAAAATTAATAAAAAGTATGAATGATATGATTAATTAATTAATAATAAAAGCAAAATTTAAAAATAAAATGATGAGTTTTTAAATTAACAAAGAAAAAACAAAAAAAAAGCAAGCACAATAAAAAGAAAAAGAAAAAAGAGCTTTATTGTTTTTAATTAGTTTTTATAATTAAAAATATCACAATCCAAAACAAATAAATTGTTTTTACCGAAGTTCAAGTGTTAAATTTGAGAGATTAATGCATTTTGCTAAAGCAGAACCTAAGCCTGATGCACCTTCATCACCAATTTTATTGCCACTTTTGAAATATTGAAGAAAAAATATATCATTAAATAGTTAATTAGAAGGAAAAAATTATTAAAAAATATGAAATATTAAGATTATTTAATTAAAAATAAAAGCAGAGTTGAAAATAAAATGATGAATTTTTAAATTGACAAAGAAAAAACAAAAAAAAGCAAGCACAATAAAAAGAAAAAGAAAAAAGAGCTTTATTGCTTTAAATTAGTTTTTATAATTAAAAATATCACAATCCAAAACAAATAAACTGTTTTTACCCAAGGTTAAGTGTCAAATTTGAGAGATTTATGCATTTTACTAAACCAGAACCTAAGCCTAATGTACCCATTGCACCAATTTAATTGTAACTTTTGAAATATTGAAGAAAAGTTATATCATTAAATAGTTAATTAAAAGGAAAAATTTATTAAAAGATATAAAATATTAAGATTAATTAATTAAAAATAAAAGCAAAAGTTGTAAATAAAATGATGAATTTTTAAACTGTTTTTACCTAAGTTAAAGTGTCAAATTTGAGAGATTGATGCATTTTGCTAAACCAGAACCTAAACCTGATGCACTATTTGCATCAATTTAATTTTAACTTTTGAAATATTGAAGAAAAGATATATCATAAAATAGTTAATTAGAAGGAAAAAATTATTAAAAAATATGAAATATTAAGATTAATTAATTAAAAATAAAAGCAAAAATTAAAAATAGAAAGATGAGTTTTTAAATTAACAAAGAAAAAACAAAAAAAAGCAAGCACAATAAAAAGAAAGAAAAAAAAAGAGCTTTATTGTTTTTAATTAATTTTTATAATTAAAAATATCACAATCCAAAACAAATAAACTGTTTTTACCTAAGTTAAAGTGTCAAATTTGAGAGATTAATGCAATTTGTTAAAGCATAACCTAAGCCTGATGCACCTTCATAACCAATTAAATTTTCACTTTTTAAATATTGAAGAAAAAATAAATCATTAAATAGTTAATTAGAAGAAAAAATATGAATAATAAAAGCAAAAGTTAAAAATAAAATGATGAGTTTTTAAATTAACAAAGAAAAAACAAAAAAATAGAAAGCACAATAAAAAGAAAAAGAAAAAAGACCTTTATTGTTTTTAATTAATTTTTATAATTAAAAATATCACAATCCAAAACAAATAAATTGTTTTTACCGAAGTTCAAGTGTTAAATTTGAGAGATTAATGCATTTTGCTAAACCAGAACCTAAGCCTGATGAACCTTCATCTCCAATTTAATTGCCACTTTTGAAATATTGAAGAAAAAATATATCATTAAATAGTCAATTAGAAGGAAAAAATTATTAAAAAATATGAAATATTAAGATTAGCTAATTAAAAATAAGAGCAAAAGTTGAAAAAAAAATGATGGGTTTTTAAATTAACAAAGAAATAACAAAAAAAAAGCAAGCACAATAATAAAAAGAAAAAGAAAAAAGAGCTTTATTGTTTTTAATTAGTTTTTATAATTAAAAATATCGCAATCCAAAACGAATAAACAGTTTTTACCTAAACCAAAGTGTCAAATTTGAGAGATTAATGCATTTTGCAAAAGCAGAACCTAAGCCTGATGCACCTTCATCACCAATTTCATTGCCACTTTTGAAATATTGAAGAAAAAATATATAATTAAATAGTTAATTAGAAGGAAAAAATTATTAAAAAATATGAAATATTAAGATTAGCTAATTAAAAATAAAAGCAAAAGTTGAAAATAAAATGATGAATTTTTAAATTAACAAAGAAAAAACAAAAAAAAGTAAGCACAATAAAAAGAAAAAGAAAAAAGAGCTCTATTGTTTTAAATTAGTTTTTATAATTAAAAATATCACAATCCAAAACAAATAAACTGTTTTTACCTAAGTTAAAGTGTCAAATTTGAGAGATTAATGCATTTTGCTAAACCAGAACCTAAGCCTGATGCACCTTCATCACCAATTTAATTGTAACTTTTTAAACATTGAAGAAAAAATAAATCATTAAATAGTTAATTATAAGGAAAAAATTAAGAAAAAATATGAATAATAAGATTAATTAATTAATTAATAATAAAAGCAAAAGTTAAAAATAAAATGATAAGTTTTTAAATTAACAAAGAAAAAACAAAAAAAATCAAGCACAATAAAAAGAAAAAAGAGCTTTATTATTTTTAATTTGTTTTTATAATTAAAAATATCACAATCCAAAACAAACAAACTGTTTTTACCTAAGGTCAAGTGTCAAATTTGAGAGATTAATGCAATTTGTTAAAGCAGAACCTAAGCCTGATGCACCTTCATCACCAATTAAATTTTCACTTTTGAAATATTGAAGAAAAAATAAATCATTAAATAGTTAATTAAAAGGAAAAAATTAAGAAAAAATATGAAATAATAAGATTAATTAATTAATAATAAAAGCAAAAGTTGAAAATAAAATGATACAATAAAAAGAAAAAGAAAAAAGAGTTTCATTGTTTTTAATTAGTTTTTATAATTAAAAATATTACAATCCAAAACAAATAAACTGTTTTTACCTAAGGTCAAGAGTCAAATTTGAGAGATTAATGCAATTTGCTAAAGCAGAACCTAAGCCTGATGCACCTTCGTCACAAATTTAATTACCACTTTTGAAATATTGAAGAAAATATATATCATTAAAGAGTTATTTTTTTCAAAAAAAATGATATTTTATGTTTTCTAAAAATTAGCTTTATTTATAATGTTGTTTAGAATGAAATTAAATAGGTATTTCACTATAGTTAATTAGAAGGAAAAAAATGAAGAAAAAATATGAAATAATAAGATTAATTAATCAAATTAACAAAGAATGAAAAAATAAGAAATCATAATAAAAAGAAAAAGGAAAACAAATCAAATAAATTAAAAGAACTTTAATGTTTTAAATTAACTTTTATAATTAAAAATATTACAATGTAAATAAATAGCTTTTATTAATTGTAAGTTTTAATAGCAAAAATGAAGAAAAAATATCAAATAATAAAAAATGAATAATAAATAAATAATTAAAAATTGAAATGAAAATTAAGTTAAAATAGCTAAAAAATTATAGTTTTAATAAAAATCAATAAATAAATAATGATGATAATTTCTTTTATAAAAATTATTTATTTAAAAAAATTGAAAATTAAAAAATATAAATAATAATTAAAATTATATTTTTAAATAAAATATACCTCAGATCAATAAGGAGAACCTAGTGAGATAAAAGTGAAGAGCTTAAAAACTTTTTTATTAATTTATATAAATTTAAAAGATATTAATAAAAAAATTAATAATTACTTCTTTTAATTTGTAATATTCTTTAATCTATTATATCATTTATTTTTCTTTTCAAAGATATTGAATAGCAACTTATGAAAATTGATTAATTAATTAATTATAAATGGATAAAAAGAACAAATAAAAAAAAATTAATTAATTATCAAATATTAATTTATAAATTTGGTTTTATGAAGAGATATCACAGAAAAATTAATTTAACATTCACTTTTTAAACTTAATATTTGTACTTAAAAATAAATATAGCAGGAATTAGAGATGGCCAGTTATTTATTTAGTCATATTTGAAAAAAACCTAATAGTTAATGTTCTTAAATATTATTAAAATAATGTTTATAAGTAGATTTTTATGTTTGTTTTATCTCTGTAATTTTAGGAATATTTATAATATCTCGAATTATAGCATGATGCAATACAAAAATTTTATGGTTTGCCTGCCACTTATTATGAAATATATTTTTTATTTATCTATTTATTTATTTATTTATTTATTAAAAAATCTAATTTATTTATTTATTTTTAATAGAATTATAATTAATTAATAATTTATTGCGTTTCCAGGATTAAAATTCTTGTGATAGCTCTACCGCAAGAATAGTAATTTTGGAAGAGCTTAAGTAATTTAATTAATATTTGTAAAAAGAATAACCACAATAGTTAAAATAAAAAGTAAAATTTCATTTCTTCCTGAGGTTTTATATAAATTATGGTATCTATTCAATCTTGATAAATAAAAAAAGTATGGAAATATGATTGATGGATAATATTTCAAATTACAAAAAATAGGAATATAAAAGCTTTGCATTTATAAAATTTATTAAGATAATATAACACTAAAAGATTCAAATTGTTTGATCGTTCTTTGAGAAACCATAGGGTTGCTTAGAGAAATTAATTTATTTAAGTTAATTAAATTTTTTATTTTTTTATTTTTTATAAATAAATTATTTACTTATAAAAATATGAATGATATTAATAAATATAAAATCAATTATAAAATCTATAAATCTATCTGTTTATATTTTAGGTTAAAAAAAATTTTTTCAATATAAAATATAATATTATTCAAACATTTAATATTTATTCATCCTTTTTTCGTCACTTGTTTATCAATATGGTTTTTTAAAGACAACTAATCTTTTTGATTTAAGACACTTGCTTATTATTTTGAGTATTGATGATTTATTCAAATACCTAAAAATTTTATAATAAATTTGTATAAATTTTTAATATATATCGAAACTTTTAAATTAAAAAATATTTGTTAAATTAATTAATAAAATAGCGTTAGTGGTATGAAAAAGATAAAAAAATAAATTATATAAAAGCTATCAAATAAATTCAAAGAGTTTTATTGTTTTTAATAGTTTTTAAAATATCACAATCCAAAACAAGTAAACTTTTTTACTAAAACTTTTTAAATATTGAAGAAAAAATATATCATTAAATAGTTAATTAGAAGTATAAAAATGAAGAAAAAATATGAAATAATAAGATTAATTAACAATAAAAGCAAAAGTTGAAAATAAAATGATGAGCTAAATTAACAAAGAAAGAAAGAACAAAAAAAAGCAAGCACAATAAAAAGAAAAAGAAAAAAGAGCTTTTATTGTTTTTAATTAGTTTTTATAATTATAAATATCACAATCTAAAACAAATAAACTGTTTTTACCCAAGGTAAAGTGTCAAATTTGAGAGATTAATGCACTTTGCTAAAGCAGAACCTAAGCCTGATGCACCTTCATCACCAATTTCATTGTTACTTTTTAAATATTGAAGAAAAAATATATCATTAAATAGTTAATTAGAAGGAAAAAATGAAGAAAAAATATGAAATAATAAGATTAATTAACAATAAAAGCAAAAGTTGAAAATAAAATGACGAGCTAAATTAACAAAGAAAGAAAGAACAAAAAAAAGCAAGCACAATAAAAAGAAAAAGAAAAAAGACCTTTATTGTTTTTAATTAGTTTTTATAATTAAAAATATCACAATCCAAAACAAATAAACTGTTTTTACTCAAGTTAAAGTGTCAAATTTGAGAGATTAATGCACTTTGCTAAAGCAGAACCTAAGCCTGATGCACCTTCATCACCAATTTCATTGTGACTTTTTAAATATTGAAGAAAAAATATATCATTAAATAGTTAATTAGAAGGAAAAAATGAAGAAAAAATATGAAATAATAAGATTAGTTAATTAATAATAAAAGCAAAAGTTGAAAATAAAATAATGAGCTAAATTAACAAAGAAATAAAGAACAAAAAAAAGCAAGCACAATAAAAAGAAAAAGAAAAAAGAGCTTTATTGTTTTTAATTAGTTTTTATAATTAAAAATATCACAATCCAAAACAAATAAACTGTTTTTACGAAAGGTTAAGTGTCAAATTTGAGAGATTAATGCACTTTGCTAAAGCAGAACCTAAGCCTGATGCACATTCATCACCAATTAAATTAGACCTTTTTAAATATTGAAGAAAAAATATATCATTAAATAGTTAATTAGAAGTATAAAAATGAAGAAAAAATATAAAATAATAAGATTAATTAACAATTAAAGCAAAAGTTGAAAATAAAATGACGAGCTAAATTAACAAAGAAAGAAAGAACAAAAAAAAGCAAGCACAATAAAAAGAAAAAGAAAAAAGAGCTTTATTGTTTTTAATTAGTTTTTATAATTATAAATATCACAATCTAAAACAAAAAAACTGTTTTTACTCAAGGTAAAGTGTCAAATTTGAGAGATTAATGCACTTTGCTAAAGCAAAACCTAAGCCTGATGCACCTTCATCACCAATTTCATTGTTACTTTTTAAATATTGAAGAAAAAATATATCATTAAATAGTTAATTAGAAG